CCAACACAAACTATAATATTTGGAATATGTTTTAAAGACAAAGGTTCTCTGTTTTACCCTAGTGAGCATATGTCATAATTGCTCTGACTCCTTTGTTCAATTATTTATTATTTTGTATGTTGTTATCATAGCTTCACCATAGAGCATTGTCTGTCACTCACAATTCAGGTCAAGCAGAAGTCATGGTTGAAAACTTAATAGAATACTTTGTCTCATGCTCCCATTGGAAACATTTATTTACTTCCAAATGTGTGTTTATGGGTAAAGCAACTTACATTTTCTCAAGCCAAAGAACTCATCATAGTCATTAATTCAGGCTTCATTAGGATCTTCCCAACAGTCTTGTGGAGAAAAGAAGTTAGTTTCTTTTGAACTACTAGCTCTTTTTTGTTTTAATTGAGAAGCAAAAGAAAGACTCAATAACACAAACGCTGTTCCGAAACTATTACAATTAATTTTGCTCATAAAAAAATAATGAAACATGCAATACCTTTAAACATTGTAAGTTTTATGTTCAACGTTAAGTTTCTGTGTCTGGAGAACACCAATATTTTAAAAATGATGTAAATGAGCTTCATTTTTCCTTTTTTTAAAATTTACTTTCATTGTTGAGAGTATTACAGGTATCCCCTTTTCCCCCTATAGCATTCTCCACCCCAGACTTTCATCTCACTATTGTCTGTGCCCATGAGCTATGCATATATGCATGTAAGTTCTTTGGTTAATCTCTTCCTGTCCTTCTCGCCCCCTTCCCTCTGAGATACCTGCTAGTCTGTTCTGTGCTTTCATATCTCTGGACCTATTTTGTCAGTTTATTTTGTCAATTTATTAGATTCCACATATAAGTGAGATCATGTAATATTTATCTTTCTATGACTGGTTTATTTCAGTTAGCATAGTACTCTCCAAGTACCTCCGTGCTGTCTCAAAGGATAATAGATCCTTCTTTTTTGCCGCTGCACAGTATTCCATGGTATAAATGTACCACAGCCTTTTTATCCACTCATGTACTGATGGGCACTTGGGCTGTTTCCAGATCTTAGCTATTGTATTGGGTCGGCAGCTAAGTAATTGTGGATTTTTTAAAGAAAATCAAAGACAATTTTTTCATGGAACTAAATAACTTTATTCTGTAATGTATTGCCCATTTTGATCAATGACCTCTTGTCATCTTTCAGGCAGCATCATAATCCCACGTTCAAAAAACTTCTGGTTTTTATTAGCAAAAAACTGAATCAGGTACGATTTGACATCATCATCATTATTGAAATTTTTACCATTCAAGGAGTTTTGTAAAGATCGAAACAAAAAGTAATCAGATGGTGCAAGGTCAGGACTATATGGTGGATGTGGCAAAACATCCCAACCAAGCTCCATTAATTTTTGCCAAGTGACCAAAGATGTGTGTGGCCTTGCATTGTCATGATGGAATACAACACCTTTTCGATTTGTCAATTCGGGCCGCTTTTCTTCAACTGCATTGTTTAATTTCGTTAGTTGTTCAATGTAGACATCAGAATTGATCGTTCGGTTGGGTGGTAAGAGTTCAAAGTAGACAATTCCTTTGTAATCCCACCAAACTGATAACAAAACCTTCTTTTGATGAATATCAGCTTTTGATGTTGTTTGAGTTGGTTCACCTGGCCTGCTCCACGATCTTTTCCGCTTGATATTGTTGTAAACAACCCATTTTTCATCGCCAGTTATCAGTCGTTTTAAAAATGGATCATTTTCATTACGTTTCTTTAGCAAATCGCAGCTGCTAATGCGTTGCGTTAACTGTGATTCTTTCAGTTCACGAGGAACCCATGTATCGAGTTTTTGAACATAGCCAAGTTGTTTTAAGTGATTTTCAATGCATGTATGTGATACATGAAGCTTCTCTGCAATCTCACGTGTTGTACTGTGACAGTCCGAATTGATTATTGCTTTGATTAGGGCGTCATCAACTTCAACTGGACGACCAGAGCGTTTTTCATCTTTGAGTGAAAAATCACCGGAACGAAATTTGGCAAACCAATTTTGACACTGCCGTTCTTTTAAGGCTTCGTCACCATAAACAGCACATAACTTTTTATGAGCTTGCAATGCGTTTTTTCCTTTGCGGAAATAAAAAAGCAAAATATGACGAAAATGTTCCTTTTGATTTTCCATTTTTCAACGAACGCCAAACAAAAACTACAAAACAGATCAAAAAACTTTTTTTACTGATTAACAGCTGAATAGCCAACTATCAAATAACAAAATGTGTTTTACATTTGTACTACATCTGCAAACCTAAAAATTCAACTGAAGCCATATATGTGTGGAACCAGCAATTACTTAGTTGCCGACCCAGTAAATAGCACTGCTATGGACATAGGGATGCATATATTCTTTCTGATTGGTATTTCAGGATTCTTAGGATATATTCTTAGAAGTAGAATTGCTGGGTCATAAGGCAGTTTAATTTTTAATTTTTTGAGGAACTGCCATACTGTTTTCCACAGTGGCTGCACCAGTCTGCATTCCCACCAGCAATGTACTAGGGTTCCTTTTTTCCACGTCCTCACTAGCGCTTGTTATTTGTTGATTTATTGATGGTAATCATTTTGACAGGTGTGAGATGATACTTCATTGTGGTTTTAATTTGTGTTTCTCTGATGATTAGTGATGTTGAGCATTTTTTTCATATGTCTGTTGGCCATCTGTATGTCTTCTTTGGGGAAGTGTTTATTCCAGTATTATAATTTAATTGGATTATTTGTCTTCCTCTTGTTCAGTTGTGAGCTTCTTTTTTCTTTAAATAATTGAATTTAAAATAGACAGTATCATAAAGCGTATTATGACAGCTTTGATCCCATCTATTATAGTGAGTACCTAGCTAGAATTTTTTTCCACCTGCCTTTAAAAGAACAGCAGCAAAGCAAGTTTGTTTAAACATGTAGAACAAAAGGCTCAGACTTGTCATAGTACATAATCTACAGGCTACAAATGATTCACAGCAGACTTATCTCAAACTATATAAACATTGAAAAGCTTTGCATTTTTAGTTAGAAACCAGTGCAAATTAAAATGTATTTTGTTTTAGACAGAAACATTAGTGATGTGGCTGACATATAATAAATTCTCATCAGCCGTCTGGAAAGGCACAACTGATAAAGCATTTCATTAGTCTCAAGATAAAGATGTAATGTTTGTATTTAAGAAAAATGAAACTATGTATTGGCTGAACAACCTACAGATATTGAGTGAAATATGTTTGGTTGTCCTAGAATCTCTTTACATAAACCTAACTTAATATCTTCGAAATAACTTTAAATGCAAGTAAAGAACTTTTGCTCTGGGTCTTTCAACCATTTTCTGTTTTTAATGAATGTCTTTTAAATATTGAGGTTCTACTTCTTAATGGATTGCCTAGACATACACATAAATCTTGTCTGGAAAATTACATATAGCATTCAGATCATAAATGTTTTGCCTTAGGGTTCGGAGGGTTTGCCCTAAATAATTAGATTTTTATTTTGAAGGTATTACTTCAGCGATGTAGAGAGTGTACTGGGAGTTTAGAAGGAGGACACAGTGACACGTAATGGAAGGGTATTATAGCAGTTATCCGGGAGAGAAATGGTGAGAACATGACTGAGAGTTATGGTAATGATATGGCGAAGAGTGGATTTATCTAAGATATGAGGATTGCTGCTAGGATGTGGAAGAGAAAAACACTGGAAGCTGAACAAATTAGAAGATGTGTAGAAGTTGAGTACAGATTCTGCAAACACAGGTCGAAGTATTCTTTTAGACATTCATATATCTATCTATCTATCTATCTATCTATCTATCTATCTATCTATCTATCTATCCATCTATCTATCAGTGGGCATGAGGATTTGAACCTACACAGTCTGGTTCCAAAGTTCATGCTCTTAATGAACTCTGCTCCACAATAGTGTCCCTTGATTACTTATAAGAGAATTCAAGCAGAAAATAAAGAGAAGGGTTTGAAAAAAATCACACAGTGAATTATAGCATTCCTCATAGCTGGTAAAGTAAATAATTAAACTTAACAGCTTCTAATTTGAATATCTGAATCAGCAAAGTCTGTTGTAAAACTTTCTGTGATTGGTAATAATGCTCCTTAAACAAGAAGCAGGTATTTTAGCACACAGAAGAGAATTCCCAGGACATGGAAGAATGGGTGCTCGGAAACAGTCACATATAATTTAAATACATATCTATTAAGCTCTTAGAGGAAAACTAGTATGGAAACATTTTGTGTACAGTGGCATGGTGTTTCTTGTGTTACTACCATTAAACCTTCCCCTGGTTGCCACATCACAGGGCTGTCACTTTGTTATAGGCACCTTTGCGTGCATTGAAAGAGAATGAGAATATCAGGAAACTTCTCTTTCTCAGGTGCATTTGAAAAAGGAGTGTTACCTTGGAGAATGGCAGAATGGAGAACATGCAAGTGTCCTGCAAGGCTTGCCAGCTCTCTCTCCAGATTGTCAGAACTGTAGTTTAGAATATGCATAGTTCTGAGACATTACATTTTAGAATTAGAAGGGAAATGATAGAAGTCACAAGCATATATAAGATCATCATTACAACACTGTCTTAATAAGAATGAAAAATTTTTGGTACTTATGAGTTAAGATGTTTTTTTTTTTACTTAATAGTGACATTTGAAAAGTACAGTTAAAAAAGCTTTATCAACAAAGAATAATGTCAGAAATATATGCAGATATAGTACATTAAAAGTACTTAATAATTGGAGGGAAATAAGATTGAAGAATCTAAATACATTTATTTATATGAAAAATTTAGGCTTTTCACAAAAGTTCATTGGGAACTTTCTAAAGCACTTTGAGCTCAGTGCAGAGGAAAAAGGAAAATTGTTTTGCATTGCTGTGAGGTGGGCAAGGCCCAAGGCCCGTCAGTCACTTGAAAGACGGGTGTCAGAACCGTGCAGCAGGTTTCTCTGAAACTGAGCGCGAGTCTGAGAAAAGACTTTCCGTGCCCAAATTGTGGGCTTTTAAATTGTTTAAATTTGAAAAAAATTATTGAGATTTTGTTGTACACTTGAGATTAGATACACGCTTTTGGGGTTACTCCTCTGGGCTTTTCTGATAGGAAATCCTGAGCAAAGTGAAAAATGATTTCTAAAGGAATTTTGTGTGTTAACATTGTATCTTATAAACAACTTGCTTTTCTTTTGTAGTCGGTATTAACCATTTTTGCTTACTGTTATCTTTACATTGTAATGGGAACCAAATAACCTTTTGTGGACACTGTAAAATTACTGTGGTTTTTGGTAACAATTCATGTGCCAAGGTTAGGTAATCGATCATATCCTTAGTTTGAAAGTTTGTGCTTTTTAAATGATCCAGCACTACTGGGGAAACTCGGCCAAAACCAGTCTGGGGAGCAAGAACAAAAACGAGGCGGCAGGCCTCGCTAGGTGTGGCACATCACGTGTTTGAGGTGCATCTGCTGGCAAAGTATGCTGGTGGCTTTTGTTATCATGTCTCTTCCCCTTAAATTTCACCTTAGATACTTTAAATCCCAGTGCTTCTGCCTTTGGGATTCTATGTCTTCTGGGTTTAAAAAGTGTTAAAAAAATATGTTGGCATGATAGCTGCGTTCTTAACCAGAGACTTGGGCATGACACAGTTACTGACTGTCCTTGTCATTTAAAGAGTATTATGCATGTATGGGGAATAAGTTGGGTAAGACCTGGTACTGTTGCCTCATGTATGTGACTAATAGTTTTTTCTTCCCCATTTCAGCACAAATAAAGGTTTGAGCTCTAAACTCAAAAAAAAAAAAAAAAAAAAAAATTTAGGCTTTTAGTGAATATCTTTTCAACTGTAAGTCTGATGCATTTCTGTTGGTCAGAATGAAAAGTCATAGATTACCATTTAAAGACTGATCACAAGAATGCTCTTTAACTGCAAAATCCATTTCTAATACATTCCAATTTAGTTTAATTGAGAATTAAATTTGGAAATATAAATTATCATTTCATAACTTGTTTATATATTGAGTATATATTTTACAAATTATATTTGACTACATATTGATTAATTTTTTGAAGAAGAATCTTACTGTATTTATTTTTTATCTGGGGCGAAGTGCTTTGAAATCACTTTCTTTGCAATAGAAAATTATTAAAATGAGTAAAAGGACATAGAAGGACATTAAAAAATATCTTGTTTTAATATTTATATGCTATATTATATATTTTTCTTCTTGCATGCTCTATTCTAGACATTTTTCAAAATATTATAGATAGCAAAAATTGGAAATCTTTGGATTTATTCTAGAGTGTATCCTTAAAACTTCAAATAAAACACCCATGTATGTAGGCTTATTTCTCATGCTGTGTAGGTTTAGTGACAGGGCTTAATGGGAGAGGAAATACCTCACAGCTGTACTGAGCTGAAATCCACAGTAAAATAAGATTTTTTTCACCATTATCAATTTCCAACCTGGATTCTGTTTTTAACGTGTGACTGAGTCACTGAACCAGGAAGGTGTTTACCTGTAAGGTGAACTGGTTGAAATAGGAGAAGCTTTTAAGTTCTAAAATTTCAGCCAGAGTCTTCCCTAAGAGAAAGGAAAAAGTGGGTCTCCTCCATCTTTAATAGTCTCTTGTCAATCACACAGCCTTCTTGTACTGGTTGCACTTCTATGCTGACTGAGTGCTGGCTGTTTGTCTTGTTCCTGTCACTCTAAAATGCAAAATGAAAGGCGGGGGCGGGGGGGGGGGGGGGGCAGGCCTGTGGGTTCTCAGGCCTTAGGGAAATGAGTAGCTTGTGGCAACCCAGGTCCTCTGGATCCAGGCTGCCCTGGAATGCTTTCTTAGGTGATTTTTCACTGAAATGGAGCATGTAGTTCTTAGGGGTTTGAGTTCCTTAGGTATATTCAAGGCAAGAATGATATTCAGAATCAGATGATGGAAAGCATTTGAGTTTATGAGATCTGATTTCTTCTATCACAAAAACATCAGCTCTAATACTGGAAGCACAATTGCTGTCTTCTGTTACTTGCTTGAATGTTAAAAAGTGATTTTTGAATTAGATAATTCCAAATTCTAATATTTTGGATAAACCCCCTTACAGGATGTCATTTTAAGATACTTTCAGGGATTCTTACGGAAGATAAGATTCTCTTCACTTCAACATTTTCAAACACCAGCAACTTCTACTAGTATAAAACCTGTAGGGAGATTTATTATAGCTAGCCAACCTTATTGAAGTCACTTGAGTCCTAAGAATTTTATAATCATTACTGAATAGCCATTTGATTTCATATCTTCTACCCATTTCTTATTTTTTAAATTTATTGCGCTGATTTGTAGGAGCTTCTTACATGTGTTAATATTTAGTATTCCCTGTTATACTGTTGTACCAATCAGCTGTTGTGTAAGCTACAACCTCAAAATCTTAGTGGCTAAAATACGCAAGCTGGCTGGGCCGGCTCCGTGTCACACTGCAGGTCTGTGGGCAGATGGGGCAGGTCTGCTCTGCAGTATTCGGGCTGAGGCCTAAGCTGTGCAGGGAAAGCTATCCTCATGGCAGTGGCATGAGATTTGTTTTCACTGACATCATCTCTAAAATATCAATATGAGTATATCTCACATATAGAGTATCACACACAAGTATCTGCTCATTTACAAAGCATTTTATTTGTATATGAGTTCCCTAGCTGTTGTTCAGAGTTGTTTTTGTTATATAAGCCATACTTATTAGGTGTTGTCTTCCAAGAATTCAACTCAGTTTTCATGGAAGCTAACTTTATTCCTATTTGGTTTATGTAATAATGTAGGCTAGTCACATAATTGCATTAACAAAAACAAGTGATGTAAAACACATTTGTAGAGAAATAGCTGACTATTGGCAAACGTATTACTCAACTGGTGTGAATAGACATGTCTGTGGTCATATTTGGGCATGGCATTTGTATCTTTGAGCAGTCACTGTGAATATTAAAATGTATTACAGGGAGAAAATAGGGAAGCTAAAATAAATTTATCTTTTGTATATAGTCTCTTACATGGAGACTACATTAGAGATTTTTTACTACAAAGAGCACATTTAAAAAAAATATTTACCAACACTGGATTCTACATTGTTGGTCTCTGTAATATCATCATTTCTGTCCTTTTTTCCATTCTTTAAGGATTTTTTCCATGACTTAAAAAGCTTTCAAGATTTGTCTCCTATTTTTTGTTGTTGCTATTTATTACAGTAAAGCCAAACTTTTAAGTCATCCTTTTACTGTAGAAACCATTTTATATATTTGACCTATGTATTTTTTCTTTTTAAAAATATCTTTTTATTGATTTCAGAGAAGAAGGAAGAGGGTGAGAGAGAGAGAAACATCAGTGATAAGAGAGAATCATTGATTGGCTGCCTCCTGCCACTCCCCCTACTGGGGTTTGAGCCTGCAACCTGGGCATGTGCCCTGACAGGGAATCAAACCCTGACCTCCTCATTCATAGGTCTGTGTTCAACCAGTGAGCCATGTTGGGTGGGCTTGACCTATATCCTGATGCTTATTTATTCTAACCTAAAAGTAACTGAGGTCCAAGAACTCATGAAGTCTTTGCCAACTGCATTATTTTAAGTTAATTTGGTATGTTGCAAAATTCCAAAAGAAGTATTTCCTTTAAAGTGACTAATACTGTGTAGCTGGTGATATTTATAATCATTTCTGATATTTATCATTAATTGATCACAGATTAATTGTTTCCTTTATAAAATGTGAACAGATAAGTATTGACGATTTATTTGAACAGCAATTTGTACACATTAAGGATTTTAATTGTTTTAATTTAGGCAATGTAGTTCCAGCCCTAAGCACACTGGATATAGTCAATTGTCATTTAAATGCAATCTCTCAGATTTAAGGTGTAAGAATTACTTCTAGGAAATAGACATGTCTTAAACTCTATTTTGTTTATTACATTTGAGGACATTATTTTATTTCTACTGTTAATGTTTATTTTGTTGACTAGATTCCCAAAGAGATTATAATTTTTAAAGCTGTGAGCTACTTGAAATTTTATGAGTCTGAAACTATGTTGTGTTGTATAATATGGGTTTTACTTCTTATTTTTCTGATCAAATTTGCCATAGTAAGAACAAGCTACAATCGAAATATAAAACTTTTGACACAAAGAAGAAATTGGAATGTTACTAACAGCTGTTGTCATAAAAAAAGATCTACTAGAATTTTATGTGTCTAAAACATTATCTTCTCAACAAGTCTCTCTTTTAGCTTACTGAACTTAAGTACTAATTCTGCTCTGCTTAATCTCACTTCAGCAGTCAAACATAATTTCTCTTTGTTCCATACATGAATTAAATAGATACTAAGCTGGTCACATCTACTTTGTATAAGGTTCTGTTTTGTCTAAAAGTATTCTTTTCAAAACATAATTCCTCTGGATTTAACTATTTTTACTGGCTAATAACATCTAGATCTGATCCAGATCTTGACCTCTCACCCCATTTCTAACTCAACAAATCTAACTAGGTTCTCTGTTTTAGGCTGTTGAACTTTTTGTTTTAAATTCAACATATTCCTTCTTTTCATCATTGTCTTCTCTTTTTTTCCACCTGTCAGTTATGTCTTCTCTGAGTGGTCGTCCACTGGGTGGGGATAATGATACAGGCCACACTTGGGGCACAGCATACTTTCTCTCAGTGCCCAAGCTTATTTGGAGTGTAAAGTAATTGAAAAAAACTGCTAATGTACCCTAAGTAGAATCTGTTTGTATTCTCACATATTTGTAACACTTTTCTATAGGAAATAGTGCAGAAAGTTAGTGAAAAAAACTTCAAATTCTTAGGGGAAGAACTACTAATGAGAGGGGGGGGGGGGAGGGAGGATGAGAAAGATAATGATTCTGAGGAACAGGTACCTATGTATAATATATATAATCAGCTTTGATGGAGTCATATGTTAATTGGGATTTTACATGTAAATAGCATATAAGCACATGTGATTTAAAAAGGCACCATACCAGTCTGTGCCTCCCGGAGCTCAAGAACCATTTTGGCCCTTCTTCCTGCTGGTGAGGCTTTGATGAAAATGAAATAATTACAGCGAGGTAATATTTAGTGAGTGCTTGCTTTGTGCCAGGCTTTGTGCTAAGGGCTTTATAAACACTTGAGTTAATTCTTACCATTACCTACTACCCAC